ATAATTAATAAATTTATTAAAACTATAATTAGGAATCTGTATTGAATGGACGGATAGAACCCGTGAGCACTGTTCACGGATTTACAGCCGAATTGGGAGCGAGAGAGAGAGAGAGAGAGAGAGAGGAATATACTTCGAAATTGCCCAGAAGACTGCTGATGGTAGTGGATGGTGGTGCGCTTGTGCTTAAAGGAGTAGTTTGTGGAGTGGGCTCAGCCTCCGGGTCTTTCTCGAATAGCGCTCTGAAAAGAAAAATAATTTAATTAAAACCAAACAAAGGATTGAATGACTGAATGGATAATACTTTTTAATAGCGTTGACTGAAGTCAAGGAACTGTCGAAATCAAAACAAGTCCCAGATTTTCGCATCGGAGCCTTAAATAAGGGTTAAATATAAAATTAATTTCAATTTTGTGTTATAATTAAGTCATTAATGATTTACATTTTGATGCAATCAATGATATTTTTTCATATGAATCGCAATAAATATGTAAAATGTGAAAATTAAATTTGTATTTCGTGAAGATTTCGGGGCAATAAAAATATTGTTTTTCTTATTTTAGTTTATAATTTGGCCGCAAAACAACATTTTTCTCATTAAATGCCAAAATTGGGTCGTTTTGTAGAAATGCAATGTTTCAGTGCTTTCAATATGATTGACAATTGAAATATAAAAAATATTTGTCTCAATTGAATAAACATCCAATAAATTGGCAATTATTATACCAATGCCTCAAACATTTAATTCACAAATAGTTTTCAAATACAGAATAAATATTAATTCGTAAACAACTCGTACCGATATTAAGTCATCAAATGTTTTTATTTTAATGTGTCTATCATTTAACACATTAATTGTAAATCTATTTCATTGTCTATTTTTATTTTATAAATTTTTAATGAATATTTTTAAAAATAAATATCAATAGAAATCAATTAATACATGAATCAAATCCTAATTGTGTTGATAGTAAAATGTAAATTTACTGAACGCATGAATTATCATGTTGTTTGTGTTAATGTTAAAAAATTTCGTTTAAATTTTATCCTTCAACTAAATAATAGAAAATTTCTATTCAATGAAACATAAATCAAATGAATAATCATTTTTAAATGTGAAAATGGATACAAAATTGAGAAAATAGTGGTTATATTTTCAGATATTGTGTATAACAAGTACAAGAGCTGCGAAATCTATTTGTTTATTCGTACAAAAAAGTAAATCTAAAACAATTTATTGATTTTTAATATACAGTATATAAATTCCGTAATACAATTATTATCGTTAAAATAGCGTTAATGTAGCGAAGACTCGGTTCAATACAAAAATAGTTGCTCTAAATATATGCTGATTATCTATAAATTTGGTGACAAAAAATACTGACAAAAAAATTCTAACAAAAAAATTCTAACAAAAAAATTGTTGAAATCTTTAAATAAAGTTTAATTTCATTTAACTTTAATAACAAAATTACAAAAAGTAAAGATATACAAAAGTCAATTATAACAATATTATAAAATAATTTATATTGACTTCAAATAAGGTTTATTTGAAGAACAAGTGAAATGGTTTGTGCGCTCATATGTTAACATTTGATAATTCAATTATTGTTATAAACAAGACATGAGATGTGACTTAAATAGACAATCAGTCAAATGTATTGCAATTGAGTTGAAGTGAAGATTGACACTAGAGGCGAGAGAGAGAGAGAGAGAGAGAGAGAGAGAGTGAGAGAGAGAGAGAGAGAGAGAGAGAGAG